CATCGCTAGCAGGTTGGAGGGCCATCGCTAGCAGGTTAGAGGCCATCCCATCGCTAGCAGGTTGGAGGCCATCGCTAGCAGGTTGGAGGGCCATGGCTATCCCAAATACTGGAAGGATGCTAGGCGCTCGACGCACGCTGGACGGACCTGTCAGACAAATAGTTTGGAGACACACGCGCAACACACCTCTTGCTCTGCACAAGTGGGCTGGAGTTGACTGATCGTTTGAGCATGCTGTACGTGACGTTCGTGCAGCTCTCTCCCGTGTTTGCTTTGCTACGCAGAGCACGTTGAGCGTGGACCCTCCATCCTACATGTCGTGTGCCAAGAATAGGTATTTCGCGCCAAAAGCAGAAGTACTTTGGAGGGTCCAGATTTAATGCTCCCAACGGCAACCCTCAGTTTCTTTTATCTTTTACGATCTTTTACGGTTTGTTCTGTTCTTTCGGAAGACATCTATTAATGATGATGCCGAGAACGAATGCTGCTAGAGCTCCCGTAAATCATAGGGAAAGCAAAGGGTGACGTTACGTCAAAACCAGCGAAACAGGAAACTCGTCCTTTCATTTTCTGGTGAATCATTCATCGCGTGACCGAAAAAGGACGATCGATCTCTGAGGATCTTAGCGCCGGAAAGCCTGCCAAGGGCCCTCAAAAGTCTGACCTTTGGGGATACGTTCAATCAGAGCTTGGATGACCTCCAGTTCCCAGAGACCTTGGAACTGCTCTGTTTGGGCCGAAGGTTCTTTCAGCCATTGCAGAAAGTGAGGCCAGGTTGGAGATTTTGGGGAGGGAACCCTGAACTGGAGGGGGCCAGCTTGTCAGCACGTTACAGTAATACGATTGATGGAAACTGCTCATATATTTCTCTCCTGCACCATGAGATGAAGATTGACTGGACATTTCTCCCGGGCCTGCTGGTCGTGCCTTCCATCGATCAATTCGGAACCAAAGACACAACAGCCTTTTGGAGGAGTTCTTGATCAACCTGATCGATAATCATCATGGTCAGACATCGGTGCACAGGATATAACCGGATTGTTGTAAAATATGATGCATCCAATTGTTCTCCTGGCTACTCTGCGCGCGAAATCGCGACTCGCGACTCCTGGAAATCGCACTCTCCAGGTTCCCTCAAGGCTTGAAATACTTGAGCATTGACAACCATGTGAAGGATGGATTGGACTCGGTGCATTTGCCGAGAGGTCTTGAAACGTTGATCCTTGGAGGCGAGAACGGCCGAGTGAAAACATACACCGGTCATACCGGTCTCGAGAGGTCAAACGTCGGGTGGAGGGCAAACGGTTTGGTGCGAAGAATCCGCGGGAGCATGGTCGATGTGTAGGGCGATTCCAGCAATGACAGATGTTGGTTTAAACATGTTAACAAAAGAAACACATCGTTTTCTCAGACATAGATTAGTAAGGGGATTTAGATTTAGATGGATTTAGTGTCATAGATTCTCAATGATTCTTGGAATCTTGGAACGTACAATAATGTGGGTTGAATCAGATTCGATCCTGTCATGTGACAGGTCATACTCTCACACTGTGACTGTGCAGGTTTCTTTGACCAAAAGCTGGACAATGTGCGATGGCCAAGCCGACTTCACACGTTGAAGTTCGGCAACGATTTCAACCAGCCGATGGAAGAGGTGCAACTTCCTGAGAGTCTTCATACCTTAAGTTTCGGAGTCTTGGTCAATTTCAGAGGACTGTAACTGTATCCTGAAACACTCCATGTGAGGAACCACTTTTGTTTGGTCTTGACTTTAAAGTAGTCTACGGCAATTCTACGGTTTTTCTTTCTTTGTGCAACATCAGTATTCAGTGGTGAACAAGATAGGGCCCCTGCATAACGAGACACGTTTTTGATATTTTTTGATAACAGTGATGACATGTGATTGGCTACTAAAGTAGTCTGAACAAGATATTGTGACATGACCTACTAAAATAGTCTGAACGAGATGGGGCCCCACACAATAGATGCTGGGTGTAATTGAGTTTAGTAACAAATAAACTCAATCAACATAAATGCCACTGCACATGTACGCAATGTATGCCTGACTCCTGAAACCACCCCAATGTGGGCAAATATGAAATTTATAATATAAAATCATAGAAGTGTCAGGGAGAGGAACTTGTGCTTTCACATGTTTCACTTCTTTCATGTCGGCGAGGATATTTATGGTGCCCATGATCCCCAGTTTTTGATCTCGACAACTCCTGTACTCGAACACAATAAAAAGGATGTATTATGTCCCGGGGGAGATTCCGTACCTTGAAGAATCCGCCCGTCCTTCTGCGTTTTCGATTGGTAGCTACACCCTGCCACGCCTACGAGTGGCCTACCCCTTCCCCCCTTTTATCAGGGCAAACAAAAGCAGACTCGGAAAAGCGCAGCGGCGTTACGGAGCATTCTCCTCCCGCTTCGCCTAGCCGCGTTTCTTGGCTTCGCTTCGACCTGGAAACTCCCTGGTCCTGGGAGACTCGAAGAACACGCGAGCTGAGCGGACGCGGTCACAGAGCGAGCACGGCAGCGGACGCGGACACGGGACGCGGACGTGGTCCCAGTCCTGAGGACTGAGCTTTAATCGGAGCTTCAAGCTGTCAAGCCAGCTGGTGATCTTTTCATTGGGTGATTACTTCGTTCAAGATTTGACCGCCGTGCACCTTCCAGAGACCTTGCGGGAGCTGACGCTGCCCAGGACTGGTCGGGGATTTCGGACGGATACCAGGTTATACCCTCAACTACGTCCGGGTCTGCAATGGGTGACCCTCCAGGGTCTGACAGGCCAAGGTCTAATATGGGGCATGTACTCATTCCAAGTGGGAACATCCAATTCTCCAGCGGGGCATGAGATTCACCCGACAGAACGAACGTCGCAGGGCCTGAAGTGTGCTCCGTGTTCTGCATCGAAGCCCTCCAAGGGCCATCAGTCCGGCCATACATGGAACCTCTCATGCTGTCACGATCCCGAACCTGAGAATTGACCGGTGGGTTCGACCATTTTCATGTTCCGCATACCAACCCAATGGTTTCGTTCCATGTGGGCCTCTGCAGGGGAGTCCATGGAGTGGTTTTCAGTGTGGCTGTCCTTTTTTTCCCCAAGATGTCCGCCTCAATGAGAAGAGTCGACCTGGCAGTTCACCATGCTTCAGAAACCTCACATGCTTGCCTGCCTGTTGTTTTGACAGTTCAGATCCGCATTCCACAGTTTCCGTCACATGACCAGCTTCCGGATGGTCGACATTTTAACATCGTTTGTCAATGTGTATCATTGATGCACGCTACAGACTGTGGGATTTTTGTCCCCATGACTATGATTCCGGACTGGATGCTAACCTCATTTCCGACAAAATCATCGCAACAGTCATTGGCTAGGGTGGTTGCATCCACGTCATGTTCCTCCCGACCAACCATTTGGTGCCGAAAAAAGCCTACGACAAACACATCGAACACATGGCCTGCGACGGCAATGACTACTCATACGACGAGTCATGCGACTAGTCAAGCATGCGTCCCGTTCTTGTAAATTCTTTTACATGCAAAGAGCATCAAAGAGCTATATGGCCCTTATCAAGGCTATATGGCCCGCTCTTGATGATATGGCTATATTGTTCAAATTTGCCCTTCAAGTCGCTGAGCCAACTGGCCTCCCGTCTTTCTTCTTCCCAGCGACTAGAAGAACTGCTCTCAGTCCATCCGTGGTCCACTGGATGTGAAAGAGTTGTTCTTTCATGTCGCGATCTGATCCCCAAACGGATTTCCTCTAAGACTGTTCACCAAAGCAAACATCGGTTCATGCGAATCGAAATGCCATACACATAGAATGCCATATCTTTCCTCACTTCTGCGGTGGGTTAGGTCCTTTTTGAACGAACGCTCGTTTTGCTGCTTCCTTCGTTTGGGGTCCGCGCATTCACAAACGCGAGGAATTTTGATGAGCGACTCGATTTGTTGAACTTGCCGGAGAACCTCGAGTCATTGACCTTGGGGAAAATGTTCAACCAGAGCCTCTTGGAATTCTGGATCATGGTGTGTGTTGGGAGTTTTTCGTTGGGTGTGTGGGACCGTCCTTTTTGGGGGGAGGGAGATGGACAAAGGCCTGGAACGGGGTTCCAGTGTGAGAAATATGTTAAACAATGTTCCATGTTTCCTTTTTCAAAATGTACGGGTGTATGTGTTTGTGTGAGATTTGGAACCAGATGAAGGTGAAATCACAACCCAGCTGGAATGTTCGATTTTGATGGTTCGAGCTGGATGTTCCTATGGAAACCTCTCTTGACCATCCATGAGGCTTTTGATGGACAAGATAGCTGCAGAAGCACCGTAATAGCCGGTAAAAGAACAGTGGAACTTGCGATGCTCTCCTGATACCCTGGTTTAGGACTTCGTCACCGGTGAAGTCGGAACGTGAAAGAAGTGCTTGGTCGGTGAAGGGAAATGTCCAATGTGTACCAGGACCCCCTAGGGAGTGTCCAACTATAGCTCTTTAGAAGTTAAGGGATGTCCATTAATCACTCCTTGGGGGGCCCTGCTAAAGAGTCATTGGAATGAACTGTGCAATGTGCAGATGATGTGATAGGCTGGCGCCGCCCCATCCGCAGGAACAGCCAAGGCACACGGTTTGTTTCTTTTCAGAGTCCCCACAATTGAGCCAATGCACGCCCGGGAAGATGCAGATGGAACCTGATGGCAGGGACCTGCAAGCAAGACTTAAATCTACAACCCGACGTGGTTTTCAGATGTCTTTAGGTTCCATGTGGGTCTCTTTCAGGGTGTAATGAATCAAAGTATGAATCAATTATGATGTATAATGGGGATGGGTCAAAACCTCGAGCCCGACCAGTCCACCATGTAGCGACACGACCTCCGGGTGGTCTGCCGCAGCATGCCGCGGCTGGTCTGCCGGTGCCATGACCCGCAGCATCCCACCGCTTGGTCTCTCCGTGTGGCTCGGTCAGCTCGGCTCCAAATACACCAGTGAACAACACTGAGGTGTCGATGGCCTGGAACTTCCGCGAAAGCTGAAGACCTTGACCTTCGGCCACTTGCATTGAATGGAAAATCCAACACCCCCTTGCTGGAGAGGTGAACAGAGGTGAAGATAATGTAAAGTCAAAAGGAACAAAGAGCCTCCAGGGCCAGTGGATGCTACGCCCTGGGAGACCCACAGGCATAGCATCCACTGGCCTTCATTACACCAGTGCACACAAGTTCTGCGCAATATCCACAAGTTCTGCGCACAGTCACGCCAGGCACCGCGTTCTTACGACTCTAGGCAGGTCGACCGACTGGCCCGTACCGTCACCGTGTCCGGGTCGACCGAGACTGCCAGGTTACATGTTCAACCGGCGAATGGATCGAATTCTGCTGCCGCTGGATCTGAAGAGCTTGACCTTCGGAGTGACTTGGGAAGAGAACGCAAGCGACCCGACACTCCCAACAAACATGGAATTGAAAGATGATCTTGAACACATCACAAAACATACATATGCACATAGGATCTTTGTTGGATTGAGGTCGATTTGTTTGGTTTCTCCCTGGGCAAAACGGCCAACCCATGCGATTCCCGGTCAACGAAACGTGTGTGACCCGATGCGCCCAACGTTCATTGGACAAGAAAACGACGATCTGCATGGGTCATGCGTGAAGAACATCGAAGAACCGCTCACCTGGCAGGTGAGCTTTCATGAGAATCTGGATCGGGTGCGTTTTCCATCCAGCCTTCAACATTTACAGTTGGGCCTCAGTCGCTGAGAGGAGTTTACGTCGTTTGCGGGATGGGTCGCGAAGCATGTTCGACCGCATGAAAAAACCAAGGCATGAGTTTACTGCGAAACCGGCATGGGCCAGGTGTGAGTGAAACCGGTACAGACGAAACAAATCAATCCAAAGCCTTGGTTTCCCCAGTGATGCATTTCAAACACTCAAAATGTGAAATGCATTCAAAAACCCCGGTCTTGATGCATGTCACCTGACATCCCTCGCGCTTCCGCGGCTCTGCTGCGCTGCTGCTTCGCTCTCGCGTCGGGCGTCGATCCCTTGGAACCGTGTTGGACGTTGGCTTTTCCATGCTTTTCAGCCAAAGAAACCTGGTTGACAACACGGTGAACCTGGTGGTCATCCTGAAGTCTTGAAGTATGTCATGAAGTATGTATGAACAAGTCAAGTCCTCCTACTCAAACGGGAAAGATCGCATGACGTGGCTCCGGAAACTTGAGTGACAATCCAGTCAAATGATCCCTGACTGAGATGTGTGTGATGTTTTTTCTCTCCACATGGGCACCTCCACAGATTCGGTCCACTCAGAGTCCACTCCAAAGCATTCGGTCACGCGGCCAGGTTGGGGTCTACCCCTTCACTGCCGGTGAAAAACGGTTCAAACAGATCGACCATGATGGAGTTCGATCCTTTTCCTGCACGACACCATTTTCACCGAGCCCTCGACGTTCCAGGCTTCGACTTGGATTTGGATCGAATGCGTTTGCCCAGTGGTCTTCAGAGCTTGACCTTGTCTTCTCCGGTGAACAACAGGTTCAGCAACATGGACTTTCCCCGTCACTCGGGTGCCTTCCTGCGGTGGAAGGGAACTCCGGACTTGCTAGTGCGTTTCGAACTCGCCTATCATGTGTGTCCGGGGCGTGTATGTCGGTATAGTCTTCCGACTTCGAAGCGTTTTCCCAGTCCAACTGCACTTGAGTTTTGGTGCCGTTCCGAAAGCCGGAAGTGAAGTGGTGAGACTTCCAGAAGTGGTGTCCCAAGTGGAACCCTTCCGCTTCGACCGAGTTGCTTTTTCTTCAACACCAAGGTGGCTGGGCTTGGGTTTTTCACCTCCGCCCCGCTGATCCGCACCGTTAGGACCGCCATCCCGTTCAATCCGAAGCGCGGCACCGTGAACGGGTCGGCTCATGTCGGCTCGTTCTGGTCGGCCCGGTTCGGGTTGTTAGGTTTAGACCCCATCTGGGCCCAGCTAAGCAGCCTGGAAGAAGGATCGATGCTTGATTCATTCCAGCTGAGGATTTGTTTGATGGGGTTTGTTCGATTACGTTAGATGTGGGGGATTTCGACCCACCTGTACGTTTGCCTTGCCCTGGAAATCGCTTTCCTTCACATTTGATACATGTTCAGAATGTTCAGGTGGCTTCTCAGAGAAAAGTCCTGGCAGATCCATTATATCATATATACCGTATAAGTTATTATAGTATAATATATTAATATGTTATGGCCTTCTAAAGGTGGTGGTTGGGAGGGTCCTACCTTCTGAGATACGGATTAGGTCCACACTCAGGACGACGAACTTCCGTCGCGCGTGCGACGTTTGCTGCGACGTTTGCGACGTCCTTCGGGGATCAATTGAGGTGACTTGCAGACACTGAACTTGATCATTGGATTTGATCATCCTCTTGATCGGGTGGACCTGCCGCCCAATCTCATTTGCTTGAATCTGGGAAACGCCTTTGATCAAGCCATGGAACATGTTGCTTGGCGAAAGCTCGTGACGGGACGTCACAAAGGTTTGCGCTAAACACACCGCCCGAGCTGGTCCCGAACAAGTGCGAACTTGAGACCCAGACTCATGAAGGGTCCATGAGCATCCAGGTACTATAGATCCGCACGGGATCGATGCATTTTGGTGTTTTGCGTCAAAGCGAACGGGAGATTTGAGGTGTTTGGGAACAGAAAGTCGACCAGTGTGTCTTTGTGGAACCCTCTTTTTCTTCCCCCTGAGAAACATGCCAATGAATGGGTTCTTGGATTTGCAGCAGTACCAATAAAAGCAGAAACATCTGATTTCATGTGACTTCATGGTTGCTCAGGTCAGGCTACCCGACTCTCTCCAAAGCTTGAACATTGGCAATCGCTTCAATCACAGCTTGGAAGGCCTGGTCTTCCCAAAGTCCCTGCGGAGCTTGAACATAGGCACTGGCTTTCAGCAAAGCTTCGAGCGCTGTAACCTTCCCAGTGGTCTCCAGAGGCTATGTTGCAGAGGGCTGATGGTTAGCTGCACATAGGTGTACAGAAGGTAGTAGGTACAGTACCATATGTTTTAATACAGTAGTCTGCTGAGCTGCACTGACAGTAAGCTGCTCATCGTTTCACTCCAAGAACACAAACCCTTGGCTGCACACAAGCCACGTGTGTTTTTGCAATGCGCTTACAAAACGAGTGTTTTCACATCAAAGACTCAAAGACACAAAAAATGAAACAAGCTGATCAGTTGTTCTGGGGGTGGTGGCAGTGGGGGATGTGCAATTTCGGGTGGGGCATGTTTGAATCCCATTTTGGCACACAGCTTGATGATCGGAGCATGGGCATGTTGGTCCGAAAAAGGACCGACTTCTCACTCTATCAAGGTGAAGCTTTGGTTCGGGTCCAACCCCCCTGCGTCTTCGGAGTCGATCCCATTTGGAAGCGATAGGGCAAAGAAGATGGGTCACCCGCCCTTTTGATACCGCCGTCCTGCACGGGTATCAAATAATTATGATCAGGATCAAAAACAAATCATTATCGGGATCAATACAGATGTTAGGAAGGAAGGAGGGAGCAAGGAAGGAAGGACGGAAGGCAAACCTTTTGAACTTGGATTTAGAAAAGGGTATTGTGTTAAAACACTTGCAAAAACAACCCACGGGGTGTCCCATGGGTCAATTCCAGGAACAAAACAAACCATTATTGTTTAATGCTACTTGTGGGGCTTTGCTTTTTGAGCCGAAGGACATGTTCGTAGCCCACGAGCCCGTTTTTAACCGGCCCATGAGCTTTCTTTTCGAACTCACAAACACACCTTGCTAACCCAGAAATGAATTCTTCAAACCATCTTCTCTTGCACTTCCTGGCAGTGTTACTACTGTTGTTGTTGTCGTTGGTTGTTCGCTGCCGTGGGGGAGGCGCTGCGCCCTTCCCCCAACACCCCTCCCGCACCACGAAATCTGAGCACAGTATTCCTATTTCCTGCCCTACCATGAAATCAAAAAAAATAGGATCCAGTTCGGTGGCTGGAGAATGGAGCAACTGACTGCAGTCATGGTCGAGGAACGCAGAAACAAGAGGCAGCAAAACGAAAGATTTTTGCAGAAACTAGCTTACTATAATGAATCATGACATGCTTTCACGCGGAACACCTACTCCATGTTACATTTTGGTAGATCGCATTTAACCTCAATGCGGCTATGACAGGTTTGCAAAACCATATGCTCGTTTGGTGTGTGCTGCTGGTTCTGCCAGACAGCATTCTTTTACTGTGAGCCGCCAGTTTTGCATGCTGGTGGAGGTGTTTGTAGGCCGTTGCAGGCCTCGACAGGTTTTAGGCCGTTGCACTCTCTTTCAACCCTGTGTTAGGAGTTTTTGATCTCAATAACTTCGCTCGATCCACTTGCCAGTCCCGAGGCTGTTGCGGCCTTCGCACAGGCGCCGGCTGCGGTGGGAGAGAGCACGGGAGTCTACTGTACTGGGTCACAGGGCAGGGATGACCGCTCATACAACCAATGAATGGAGTTTTCCATGCTGGTTTGGTGGCGGAAGCTTTTTGTCAACCATCATTGACCATCATGCACAATCAATGGCAGATGTGTCGCAGCAAAACGAGACCAAAAGCCGTTGTCGCGAGCCACGAGCCGTTGTCGCGAGCCACGATCGACTCCTTCCGGGGGACCGGTCTCGGGGAAAGGTTCGACTGCTCTACTTCCGGCCGGGACGCCTAGAGAGCTTTGAGAGGTTGGAAAGCAAGCACATCACTGAATCAGGGAGAAGCAAGGTTGTTTGAATAATGTATATTATGATTCACTCACTGATGATACAGAACTGGCTCTTTTGACACAAGAAGTTGGGGGTGACAGTAATGCTTGGCATTTGAGTTCCAGGATACTTGAGACAGGAGCTGGGTCCTCTTGGTGATGTTCTTGATGAAAATTAAAACGCTCCGCTTCACCCATTCGCCCTGAGCTCCGGGGTTTCAGCCCATCCATGCCCATCCAAATTCAGTCAGTCGCTGGAGATGGGTGGAGAGGGTGGGTGAGTGTGCTCGTGCTCCCTCAGCTCGTTGCTCCTCAGTCGCTTGAGGCCACCCTACTGGAGTCGTGAAGGGCATTTTCTTCGGCCGAACTTGGGGGTGCTGAGCCTCCTTTCAAGTGCTTTGGCGCGCGCTTGATAGTGCATGCAAACAAGCTGGCACTGGCACGGCTGATAGTTTGGGTGCTGGGAAAAGGAACAGCAAACAGCGTTCCAGGGTGCAAGATTCAATTGGAAACGTCTAGTGATACGGTGTTGAATTCCTTCATATTTGTGGTTCTTCCTTTTCTTTGGTGTCCAGGCTGAACGTGATGCATTTTTCCCATATCGGATGGAGCCTGATGCTGAACATCCAACATTTGTGCGGCCGGTTGCGGGAGACCCCGGTTCCCAAGAATCTGCTTCAGTCATCTTCTGTGAAGATGGCATGCACATATAGCATGCAAAATTAAATTATAATACTAGCTATTGTTACTACTAGTAAGGCACTTGTTACTAGAAGCGATGCACTTGTTCCTACTAGCATGCAACATGATGTGTCTATTTTCGACCTTTTCACGACCCGTTCTTCACGACCGTCCGTCGATACCGAGACTGCACACGGCAGGGGCGCAGGGATCAGAGGTTCTCCGAACTGGATCGACCCTGACTGCTTTTTGCAGGGGGGGTTGGACCCGAACCAAAGCTTGTTCGCTTTCAAGGTACCTGGATTCGGCTATAGAATGCTTTTTGTATGCTTTGAAGTATCTTTGTGTCAAGACTCCTGCATGAGGAGTCTTTGGTTGAGATTCGTCATTGCAAGGCATTTTCCTTTCGTGCTCAGCCTCCATCCTTGCCGAGAGGCGGACGGGCGACCATCCCCATACGGGCGACCGACTGGTGGAACGAGGTAACACGTTGTAACAGTGGTCGCAGGTAACACGAGCAATTGTTGGAAAGACGCAAAAACCAATGTTAAACTAGACGCAAAAAACAATACTTTGTAAAAAACAAATGTTAAATTAGAATCTCAGATGTTTAAATTAGCGGAACTCAAGTAACAGCTATTTGGATCACTGCAAACCCCAGGAAACGCTGGATGCTCGCACATCGTCGCACATCGCTTGGAGTCCTGTCCGAGATGGCTGACTCGATCGTGTCGAGCAGTTACGGTTCGCGAAACTCGCATCGATTGAAACCGATTCAAACCAGGTTTCTAACCATGGATGTTTGAATGTCCAGGTTGCGTCTCCTAACCGGGATGCACTTGCAACCTGGAACTCGCATCCGTCGGGGATTGTCCGATTCCTCTTGTGACACAGCTGTTTCCTTGTGCTCGTTGTCCTCAGACGGACCCGTTTTCGGCCTAGATGTAACTATACACCTGTGAACCCTGGTTGAGAAGAGGACTGTAGCAGGCAGGATGTCGCAGGATCCATCTACCAAGAAGTTGGACTTGATGAAGGAAGTCCCTCAACCATCCTCAACCTGGCAAGAACCTCTCTCGAACAAGCTAACCAAACTTGTCAACTCCGCCGTGGAAGCCAAAGGTTCTGCCGTCGTGGAAGCTTGCTCACACCAATTAGCGTGGAAGAACAGGTCCTTTTTGCAGACGCATAATATACATAATTCATTATTAATATATATACATATATTTGATTATATATAGTAACTAATTTATATTTTATATGATATGTCATTCCCTATACCTATCCTATACCTATACTATATATTGAGATATCTATATACCTACCTGGACCTTCCAAGGGGTGTCCAATGGAGATCCATCAGTAGTGCAGGGGCTTCCAGCCAGGTGACCCCGTAAGGAAGGTGCTGGTAACATATGAGCACGTTTGGGAAACACGCCGCCGAATCACTCCGGAAAGCTGTCTTGAACAACACATGGCGGAAGCCAGCTCCTTTTTGGCCTGTAGAAGCCCAAACGCAAGCTGGAAGTCAGTCATGAAAGCTTCTCCGATCTTGGATGTTTGAAAGCTGCGTCACCCTAATAATCGAAGTCAGATAGATCTATACACAATCCCTAGGGATCCAAGTACCTTCTCAGAAGGCACTTGGACCCTGAAAACCTACATAGGAGTGTCTCCAATCACCTCCTGAGAAGGTACTTGGATGATTAGGGAATAATTACGTCTTGATAGGGGTCAGATCACCCCATAGTGATCCAGATTGCTGGTCGGGACACCCTCGTCCACCGCTCGACTGCCACAGCGGCGACCCGCAGGTGTTTGACCCGCGGCGATCGTGTGGCCTTCTACATTCAAAAGCGGGGGGCGCCCAAAGATTTGTCCAAAAGCAACGAATGAATTGGAATGGTCAAGTGCTTGGTGAAGATGAATAGTCCAAGCCTATTTAATAGTATGTTTAAGATGAATATCAATTAACACAGGCTGCATTCACCACAACGTAGACATTTCCAAAGCCGTTCTTCACGCAGATCACTCACAACATCGAATTGACATACCGACATACCCCAATAGTCCTCCACATTTACAACATAGGAATGTCCAAATCATGTTTTCCAACAACATCAATCACAACATAGCTCACATCCTGGACCAACAGAGATAGACGGGGGAGCTGCATATCATGCCAAGACACATGACAATGACGATACCATATAATTAGTATGCGAGTCCCCGATCCCCTTCTATCAATCATGATGTTTGATCAACTATCATCCTGGGTCTTTGGAGAAGTTGAACCATCTTTGCCTCAAGGCATCAACATGTGTTGATTTTGTCGGTAGTCCATATTTGGATCAGTAGTGACTAAAAAGGAAGAGAGGTCCAGTGTGTACTCTGCGGCCGCTACAAGGAGGGCCGCAGGGAGTACCGGCTTTGCTGACGGCCGCCTGGGAAGAAATGCATTTGAGGCTGTAGATCACCTTCGGAAAGAACATGTGGACATATGTCAGCGCAAGAATACACCAAAGATGGTGCTCGTTCCGATCCTTTTCAGCCGAATCAGCGCATACCATATGGCCAAGAGAACAAGGAGAGCGGCTGTGAATTATATACTATATATAGTAATTTGGGCTACAGCAGTGCATCCTTTTGCTGTGCTGTCCCGTTTGGCGCGTGGAGGAGTTGAAAGCCATGTTGCCCAAAGAATTTCCGGGCCAAGTCCGCTTCAGAGGGGCCCAGTGGCACCACATCAGCTGGGAGCGAAGCCAAACCCGTGACGCCATC